ATATCTAAATTAGTATTTGAATCAAATATTTTTATAAAAGAAATTTAAACTAAAAAACTAAAGAAAATGTATGTGCGTGTGTGTGTGGGGGGGGGGGGGGTGGGGGGGGGGGGGGTTACAGTGAGAGGAAGTGATGGGGTGGAGTAAGAAAAATATTTTACATTTTATTTTATAATATTTTTTTTGGGATAATAAATTTTTAATCTTTAATTTAAACTAATACTTAATTTATTTAATTTTTGTCAAGGTGAAATATTTTGTCTATGTGGAGTGTGATGTGACAATTTTTTTTTAAGTAAAAGAGAGGGTGTTTTTCTCAAAATTATTTTATACACACTATGATGAGAGTGTTATAAAAGAGAGAAGTGTGTTTCTCAAACTAATAAGTGATAGTTTATGTATGAAATTCACAATCTCATTAGTTTATATATGAAACTTAAAAAAAATTAGGTGTGTTTTTGACACTTATCTCATTATTATAGAGGTCGTTTGGTAGAGTGTATTAGCAAAAATAATGCATGCATTAATTATATGTATTAGTAATCCCTTGTTTGGTACATTTTTCATGGTATGTATAACTAATGCTCTATTGTGTATTGAGGAGTGTATTATTAATACCTAGAAATTCATGGTATTAGTAATGCAAAGGATTTAATGCATGCATTAATATGGTTAAAAACTCAATTACCTCTCAAAAATACTTTTACATCTTTTCCACCATAATTGTGAAAGATACTTTTGTAAATAAATATTTTTATACAATGCATATTATTTTTAATACACCAAATCAAACAATGCATACGAAATAATCTATGCATAACTAATACGAGTATAACTAATACATGCATTACTAATACTTACATTACTAATACACTTTATTGGATATTATTTTTATATATTCTATCAAACGACCCCAGTGTCTAGAGTGAGATTCAAATGGTTGGTTCTCTTACTTTAAGTCTTTGTTTTTATCTTATCATTACACTAAGTGAGATATGCCTCCAATATTGCAATACTACAATCTGCAATAAAAAAGTTTTTGTTAGTAATGGTCTCATGATCATTAATGGTATTCGTTAGTAGTGTTGTAATGGTTTCTCTTTATAGTTCATATCGAGATTAGCTTGGTTGTTATGAGGAATCCTTTTGAGTTTGACAGTTTGAGAAATATTGACATCTCTTTTCAAGTTAATATGGAGTTTTATTAAGTGTTTTATATAATAATGAACTAATAGGAAAAAGTTATTGAGTGACTATTGGCTACTGCGTACTGTTAATTAGTGCTTAGTGTATTGTAATTCTCAATAAAAATTGTGTGAATTGTTAACGGTCATCAAAACGATAACATCATTAACTGATAAATTAATAACCGATAAATCGATATCTTAACGGTTCCATATCGATTTAGCATTATTACAAACCGATAAGTAAAATCGATAAATTTCAAAACTCAACGGACCGATACGCAGCCCTAAATGGTGTGCTCTTAAGCTAGATTATGTCGTTTAAAGACAACTCGGACATGAGTACTCCAAGCTTCAAGGATTGTTAATGGTGTTTGAATTGATTTGGGGATGAGTACAATATTTTGTTGAAAGTTGTAATTTTCTCTCGATTAAAAATGTTCATTTGTTTCTCTCCAGTTCAATTACCTGTTTAGTGCTTATACCAGCAGTTATTGCAACGGACTCCTGCTATTAAAGAGGTGAACTTCAAATTCCCAGTGGACTAAATGCGCTTGTTACCACATGAACTCAAACCTCTCCTATTGACATGTAAACATAATGCATTGATTTCTCAAATTCACGCTCTTCTGGTAGTATCTGGGTTATTTTCCCATGGAAACTCCATTGCCCCATTAATATCATCATATGCCAAAGTGGGTGATCTCAAATCTGCCCACAAATTGTTTGATAAAAGTCCCCTGAGGAGAGTAGATTCTTGGAATGCTATGATCATTGCCTATTCAAAAAATGAGTTCCCTTTTGAGGTTGTAAATGTTTATAATCAAATGGTCCTTGAAGGTGTCAAACCTGATAGCTCAACTTTTACTGTGGTACTTAAGGCGTGTACGATATTGCAGGATTTGGAGAAGGGTGAAGAGATTTGGGACAAGGTAGTTGAGTGTGGGTATAAAAATGATGTCTTTGTTGGGTCCTCTGTTTTGAACCTGTATGCCAAATGTGGGAAGATGGATAAAGCAGGAGCTGTATTTGAGAAAATGCAGAGGAGGGATGTTGTTTGTTGGACTACGATGATAACGGGTTTTGTACAGAGTGGGAAAGGGAGAGAGGCTGTGGATTTGTATAGGAGGATGCAAAGGGAAGGTATGGTAGGTGATGGTGTTGTTATGTTGGGTTTGATGCAGGCTTCTGCTAATATTGCAGACACGAAATTGGGTTCGTCAGTTCATGGCTATATGATCCGCAGAGCCCTTCCTATGGATGTCAATATACTGACTAGCCTTGTTGATATGTATGCTAAGAATGGAGAGTTGGAGATAGCTACTCGTGTATTTCGGAAAATGCCTTTTAGGAATACTGTTACTTGGAGTGCTTTGATTTCTGGCTATGCTCAAAATGGCTTTGCTGTTAATGCTCTTCAACTGCTGATAGAGATGCAACTGTTAGGATTCACACCTGATGTAGCTTCACTTGTAAGTGCACTTCTAGCATGTTCTGACGTTGGCTCTTTAAGATTGGGTAGATCAATTCATGGTTATGCTGCCAGGAAAGTCATCATGGATCAAGTTTTAAGTACTGGATTGATTGATATGTATGCTAAATGTGGGCTCATTTCTTGTGCCCGTTCCATTTACGACCGCATCAGTTCTAAGGACTTGATATGTTGGAATACGATTATAGCATGCTATGGGATCCATGGGCAAGGAAGAGAGGCACTTACCCTTTTCCAGCAGATGAAGGACGAGATAGAACCAGATCATGCAACTTTTGCTGCTCTTCTTTCAGCTTTGAGTCACTCGGGATTAGTGGAGGAAGGTCGACATTGGTTTGATGTCATGGTGAATGAATACAAAATTAAACCTTCTGAGAAGCATTATGCTTGTTCAGTTGATCTTTTGGCTCGAGCTGGTGAAGTTGAAGAAGCTAAAGAACTCATCACTTCTATGGAAACTAAACCTGGGCTTGCTGTTTGGGTTGCCCTTCTATCTGGTTGCCACATACATAAGAAATTTTCCATTGGAGAATTGGCAGCAAACAGGGTACTTGAATTAATTCCCGAGAACACAGGTACTTTCGTGTTGGTAGCGAATTTCTTTGCAGCAGCAAAAATGTGGGATAAAGCAGCTTCTGTGAGGAAGCTTATGAAAAAGACAGGGATGACAAAAGTTCCTGGCTACAGTGCTGTAGAGGTAAATGGGAGACTCCATGCTTTTCTTATGGATGATACAAGTCACCCTCAATATGAACAGATAATGGGACTTCTATGCAATCTGGAAAATGAGATGAAAGCTATGGGCTATGTCCCAAAGACTGACTTTGTGCTGCAGAATCTTGAAGAAGATGTCAAAGTGAAAATGTTGGGTATTCATAGTGAGAGACTTGCCATTGCTTTTGGGCTCTTAAACACCGCACCAGGAACCAGATTACTTATCACAAAGAACCTGAGGGTCTGTGGTGACTGCCATGAAGTAACAAAGTTTATCTCTGTTATAGTAAAAAGAGAGATTATCGTAAGGGATGTTAAACGATTTCATCACTTTAAGGATGGAACATGTTCCTGTGGTGACTACTGGTGAAACATGTCTTGTCATGTAAAGCTCTATCATCCTGTGAGATACTGGATAAAAACTAGGAATACGATGAAAATGTATTTGTTGCTGCTTGGAATTCAATCAGAGGTCCACCTAAAAGCTTACTATGGTCATCTGTGGAATTTATAGACTGATGTCATCTGGTGGATGAGCAGAAGGATACTTTTGCTGCCTGTTTTCCCCGACTCCTGGAATTTTTGGGCCGCCTTTAATATTAGGAGTAGTCTGCACTGACACTGCAGGATGTTTGTGCACCATTGCGTGACCAGTGTTTATGTAAATCAAGAATGTGTCTAGCAGAGAAAAATAATAATTAAGAATCTGAATGGGATTTACATAGTTGCTTCGATCACATTCTGAGGGCAGGAAAAATAAGTTGCTTCCACTTCTTCTCTGAGAGAGGCAAGCCAACATAAATTTGTACCAAGCTTCCAATAAGGTGGTGAGTGGTATTTTGAAGAATCAACTATCCTGTAAGTTCCATCAAGGTGACAAAATTGAAATGTATGTGTCAGTATCAAAGATGCAGATGATATGTAGCATACTTTCACTGCTAAATGTAAAGATTGCTTGTACTTCTTTGGAGTTAGCGGATTGATTCTTTCCTTGATTAATAACTGAACTGGAGTTGAAGTTTGACCTCCAGTCTCCAGCCGAAAGAGTGTTTTTGTGTTTGGTAGCACTAACTGGAATGTGGTGAAGCACTTACGACACAATTCGATAGACATACTCCAAAAGGTTTCCTGCTTTTCTTCACTCATTCGTAAGTTTGACACAAAATGTTCAGGTGTACAACTTTGGCAGAACTTAGTCAGGTGACAGGCACCCTAGATTGTCACATCCTGAGTGGTTATAATCTCTGTCCGAGATTATTTACGTTGGGAACCAAGACTTGCCAGTTCTTCAAATAATTGGTAAGGTGCTGTCAAGGAAGAATGAATGATTATACAGTGGATTGGTGTATCATTTCTTCAAAGCTTTTACTGCTTTGAATGAATTTAAGAGCGCTATTGCGAGACTGTCTATCGTTTATCAATAGCCTACATGTTAACAACCAAAGAACGAGAGGTTTATTCTTTATAATGAGCCTCCAGTGGCTTTCGATCATCCCATTTACTGGCTGAAGGAATGCTTCTCCCTTGTTAGCTATTATTAACATTGCATTTGTTTCAAGTTGTTTGAAAGATGAAAGCTTTTGCACACATATTTCTGATTGAGTGAAGAATAAAGATAACACACAATTAATAGTTTGGATTGACACAAGGTAGTGAATGTTAACAATGTCTATATCTGAAAAACAATACTACAAGATTCTCATTGAGTTACAACAATTCCCAAAATCCCTTCTCCTAAAAGAAGGGTCAAGACATGCAGGCACATAATGTTCAATCTTATCAAAAAGTTGTAAAATTTGAACCAACTGCTTCTGTCTATTTTTCTCAACTCCGATAACCATGAGCTTGATTTTGAAGATTTTGATTGTCTTCTAATAGACGGTCATATTCTAAAAGAAGATCTGCTGCTTGTTTTTGGAGAGCAGCAACATGAGCTTCCGCAGTTTCAACACGTTTGTCTTTCTCCTCTGACTCCAACTTAACCTTCTTCAGTGTCTCTGTTAAACTAGAGAGTTGTTTCTGTGATAATTTTATTTCCTCAGCAGCTTTATCTGCTTTCTCCTTAAGCTGCAGCTTTTCTTTCTCAAGCCTTTCAAATTCTTTCTTTGAAGATCCCGCACTACTACGCAAAACAATCAGCTTCCGAAGGTAATGGTGCATACGATCAATTAAGAATCCGAGAAACAGAGAAAATCCTGTGTGATATATGCCATTTCAAATGCAGATAAATTAGCATAAAAGGAAATAAGTAATGAATAAGAAAACTCGGAAAATGCAAAATTCCAGTAGCATGCATATTTTTATTTGTCATATATAATGCTTTTTTTCAGTGGTTAGCAGTGTTAGTAGATCTATACTTCAGACTGAAGTTATGGTTGCAAGACCAAAAAACCTAAATCCATTTTGACTGCTGCCTAGGAGGAACAAACTCTTATGCTTTCTTAACCTTAAAACATAATCGCAGAAGCACATCTACATACTACCATAATTTAAGACTTGTAAGTAATGGTATCTCCTTCACTCAGACAATTAACTGTAAATCTTGAGATGGACTACCTATGTTTGCACATTCTTACTCCCCGTAATCATGTTATATCAAATGGAATTTACAAAGCAGCTTCATCGGAGAATCAGGGAACGACCCGAACAAGAGAGTGCCTCAGAACATTTATTTTACTGAGGTATAAGATGAACATTTTGAAAGAGTGGGAGTACCATCAATAGAATATCAACTGTGATGGTTGAGATATGACTATTAAGTTCAGGTAAAACGACTTCTAGACAAATTTCTCTTCAAAGTCCAAGAAATTTTAGAGAACTATTTTATTACACTTGAATATTGTTTGAGACTAAAAACAGCAAAAAAGCTCTTCCAGTGGCCAGCATTGAAGCAGCTACTTTGCTAGACTCACTATTATCCCTAACTTAAGATCAAGAATTAGGAGGAACTGGTGTTCCGCAAGTAACTGTGTCAATTGCACAGAACTTATTTTGACACCTAGGAGACAACAATTCCCTCCCCCATCTTCCCCTGAACCCAACAAAAAAAAAATAATCAAAGATTTAGCTTTTCAATCAAATAAGCTCAAACCTAGCATTACAAGTGTTAATGACAATACACGAGAGGAAGAGCGAAGAACACGTGATAGTTTCTTATCACATCTCAACAACAAATTGTTCATATTGGTATAAGCTCAACTCTAAAAGTATCTCCTTTCAAACTAGTTTAGTACAACAAACAATTCAATTAAGTTCAGTTCCTACAAATTCCAAATAACTCATCAAAAAAATGCTTGAAAACAATCTTCCTTCCATCACTGTCATCCATGAGAATAGCTACAGATTGATGCATAAATTATGAATTATAAAGATTCATTAAATATCAATTGATAAGCGAAAATGCTACATGTCCCTGCTAATTATCTTCATCCACATTCAAACCTAAAAGTAGCAGCCAACAAATCAGAGAGAGTCTATAATAAATTTTAAAGATTGCGCCCCTCGTAAACAGAATACTACTATCATCAAGGAAAACAACTGAACCAAGAATCTGATTTTCATTTGCAACACATTTTTAATATCAGAAACCAATAACAAGGAATGTAATTGAGTTATTTGAAAAGGTTTAAAGGATGATACCCATGAGAGTAGCCTCTAACAAGTTGGTTCTCCACAAAACCTGATCCATTGGTGTCATTGTACCAATCTTAGCCCCCTTATTCTGAATCTTGATAATACTAATAAAGTTGGAAACTAAGATAGCTGATATAGTACCAGCAATAGTTAAAACAGTACCCTTTCTCATTTTCACCTGATCCAAACACTTCATCACCAGTTCCCTCAGTGGCCCAATCTTCACCATTAAAAGAAATGCCACCATACTCTCCAAACAGAGAACCATAAACAACAACTGAATCATTTTTACACTAAAAAAAAAAAATCAACCTTTTTTATACCTTCAACTAAAACCCCAAAATTTCTTCAAAGAACCAACATCATAAAAAAACCCAAATCAAGAATTGGGAAGAAGCCCCTGTAGATGACCAAGAAAAGAAGTAGAAGTAAAAGATGTCTAATACTCCACTAATTAAAAACCTAATCTTTTACAACCCATCTTTAAAGAAGTGTAAAAGGATAAAGCTAGTAACTTTAGTAGAAAATGTTAAGGGTTTTGAGCTGCAGATCTATGGAATTAGTTGCTAATTAGAAAAAAAGAAAAAGATAAAAACTTTCTTTAAGCAAAACCCATTTTTTGGTTCAACTTTTAACTTTTGGTTCCTCTAAGCAAATGGTGTGTTGGATTGTTTTGTTTTTCACTTTACTTGGGAAAAGGAATAGCTAGAAGAAAAGAAAAAGAAATGTGAATTATTAGTAGTACACTGCTATTTTGCTAGTAGTAATATTTGTCCGTGTGTTCAGACATTACAAGTTGGACGGACGATTGGGCTTTGGTCTTCCTGTTATATGTTGTGTAGTTAGTACTACTTCACTTCTTTTGTCTGCCCATATCTATCTATTTAGTTGTGATCATTTTAGATTTTATGTTTTTTAAGAAATTAAGTAAGTTTATTATTATTTTTTGAAGTCATATTTTTAATAAATAAATATATATTAATTTATTTTAATTAACTAATTTGATTAATGAACATTGATTGGTTATTTAGTTTTTTTATATTAGTCAAATGTATGCTTTCAAAGTTAATAACGTTCAAAAGAGTAAAATAGAAAGAATAATGTCATTTAAGCATTAATTTTGTGAAATGACAAATATTAAGAAGTTTTTTTTTTTTTAATAAAAACGACATATAAATAGGAATGAAGAGAGTAATTGCCAATAAGCCCTTACTTTTACCACTTGGAATTTAAAAAATAAATCAAAAAAACGTGAAACTTTTTCTCAAAAATTGCTTGAAATTGAATAAAAATATCATTCATTTATAATAGGGAAAATTTTCAAAACAACAATATTTTAGCTTTTAGTGGGACTCCTTAGCAATAGTTTCATTATTTATTAAAAATGTCATTATTTTAGTTTGTTAAGGGATTAGTTATGTATTTATTTTATTTTGATTAATTTGAAAGAATACAAATAATTAATAACAAAACAAAGAAAATCATGGAACAAAAAAATTCAAAAAAGGTAAAAAGAATTTAAATACAAATCAGTTACGTTTTGAAAAGAGCATAAATAGCCATCTTTCCGTCGAGCCTTTTTTTGCTCTCTTCTTAAGAACATCAAAAAGAAAAAATTAAAATTAGTTTGTCTTCTGAATCATTCATCTGATAACTTTCAAAGCTTCTTCAAGTTGAATACAACATATTTTTGAAACATAATTTTTCAAAATTGACAACTATAAATTTGTCACATCCAGTGAACAATCGAAAAACAATCTAGGTATTTTTTTTATTTATTATTTGTTTTGGATGAGATATTCGTATATGTCGAGTACAAGAGTGTTTTTTTTTCTGATTGAATCAGTGAAATCTTTGTATGCATTAAAATTTATAGCTTTTTCGGATGTTTTGTATCCAAATTATGATGTATAACGAATGAAATTGTTTTTTTTT